TATTCTGTTTCATAATTTCTAGTTCTGTTTTAATGTCTTCATTTGTTTCTTCGAACATCTTCAATATGCTTATTTTGAAATCTTTGTTCCATAAAATAAGTTTCATCTGGAGAGAATTCAAGTTCCAATTGTTGATTTTGCTAAGTATCATTTTTAGCTTTCAATTTCTTCATGTGTTTTAAAGTTTTAATTTATAGGATCACTCTGAGAAGGAATTTTTCTGATTTTCTTTCTCTTCACCCCTTCCTTCAAACTCCTACTTTGTTTACATATCCCTTTGTGATTTTTTTTTTTTTTTGGTGGTTGTTGTTTTTGCAGTTGTACCTACCCGGTGAATCTTGAGACTATAACAGATCCAAAGACAAAAATTTCAGGATGACTTAACATTGTTTCTGGTTCCTGAATTTATATTTCTCATCTTCCTGGCCTATAATGCATAAGTGTTCTCTCCTGAAAGTTATGCAACAACCTTTTTCTAGGCTTTTTCTATGGCAGGGATCCCAACCCAAAGTCTTTGTTCCAAACAGAAACTTGTCTCTGATCTTCTCCTCAAGAACATCTTTGGTCTCTTTTCTTGCATAGAAGGCAAACCTCCCACTGCTACTGCTGGCTTCTACATCTAGATTTCAACAATTCACTAGCCTCACAACCACTTACTCTTTTGTACTGTTGACCACTTCAGCATTGTGGAAATATGTTTCTCACAATGAAGCCCAACTGTACATTTTTATCTCCTTTTCATATATTATCAAAAATTACTAGTAGAGGAGAGTAAGTGGATCTATTGAAGCATGAACTTATCTTGTCATTTGACCCAGAAGCCCAACTATAGTTTGTTCTTTACTTTTTAGAAAGTTTATTCACTTATAACCTCCTCAGCAGAAGAAAGGCAGAGTAAGGAAGTATTCTTTTCCTGTCCAAGTAAAACTTTTACCACTAGACTGAGGAGGGAGACTTTTTATGCATGTGCATACACAAGTTATATAGATAATTTTTAAATGAAGTTATAATGATATTATATAAGCTATTTTTATTTAAATATAGTATAAACACCTGCCAATGTTATTAATATTTTCTAAGAGAGAATTTTATATAGCTTAAAAGCATCCTATTATACTTTTAAGTCCCCTATTGTTCTATATTGTCTCCAGTTATTTTTGTTTTGGTTTGGTTTTTTGGTACCGGTAATTGAACTTGGGACCTTGCACTTGCAAGGCAAGCAGCAGAAACACTGAGCTAAATCCCCAGCCCTCCAATTATTTATATATAACACCACAACAAACACTTTTGCATAAAGATTGTTGTGTGCACCTGTAATTGTTTCTTTAGGAAAAATTTCTAGAAATAGAATTACTGAAGTAAAAGAATATATCACTCAATAGGCATGACACTGAAGTAACAACATCAAAATTACAGAAGTTTAAAATAAAGGTACATTTTCTGTAATGACTGCAGTCAGCTGTGCTCTACACTGTCTTTACTTTGATGCCCAGGCTGGCCAACCATCCCCTAATTGGAACATTGCCAGGTGTCTTAATTTGGGTTCCTGAAGAAGATTTTACTGCAAGTGATGTATTTGGGAGGTGATCCCAGAGACATCGGTAAGAGAGTAGGGAAGAGAGACAGGAGAAGGAAAAAAGCCAATAAAGATTTATTATCAAACAAGAGGGCACACAGAAGCCTCTGCTATCACAGAGAGCAACTCTGCTTAATCTCAGTGAAGAACCGTTGAAGTCAGTGTAGAAAATAAGCCTCAAACTTATGCTTTTGAATGCTAAAGAAATAGGAGTGAGGGTAGAGATGTTAATTCTCTGACATTTCCAGTTTGCCCCATGTGTGGAATGGTAGGTTCTAATGGTCAGAGGAAGCCCTCAGGATGAATTTGCAGGTATTAACAATTAGAAGTTATTTAACATGTGCAGAAATAATAGGTCCCAGGGGAATCGATGGGATTACAAGGAGGCACTGATAGCACTTGCCATGTTGATCATCATGGCAGGGAGAAAAGGGAAAGATGATGAGCTATGCATCTGCTCTTAAAAACTCTTAGAAGTGCTTGCTTCTGTCCAGATCTTCTTGATCAAAGCATGTTGCATGGCCACCTCTAAATTCAATAGGTTAGAAAGGTATAATTTTTTTCACATGGAAGGGACACTGCAGGAAGAACAACTAGAATATTTGGCAATGACCAATATACTTTATCACTCATCTAGAAAGATTTGAATATTTTCACCATCAAATTAAAAGTGATGGTCATAACTATCTTAAAATAAATCTTTTAGGGGGTGGTTGCAGTGATTTTTTAAAAAATGTTATTAGTATGTGCTAGTATTACATGATGATAGAGTTTGTTTTGGAAAGTTAGTGCATTTATTTGACATACCTAATCAACTTTAATCCCATTAGCCCCTTTCTCTTGTCTCCTCAATCCCATTTACCCTCTTCTGTGTCTCTAGAAGTCTACATTCTGGTTTCCTGTCCACTTTCCTTTATTTTAATTCTTTATTTTTTCATTTATTCATTTTTAGGTTTCTCATATAAGAGAAATCATGCAATAATATTTGAGTTTCTGATTCTGGCTCATTTCACTTAACATGATGGCTTCTAGTTCTATCCATTTTCCTGCAAATGACATGATTTTATTTTTCTTTATAGCTGAGTAGTATTCCATTTTGTATATATACCACATTTTCTTTATCCATCCATCTGTTCACAGACATCTATGCTGCTTCCACAGCTTAGCTATTGTGAATTGCACTGCTGTAAACATGAGTGTGCATGTATCATTGTAGTATGCTATCCTTAATTCTTTCAGGAAAATGCTCAAGAGTGGTTTATCTGCATCAAATGATATTTCCATGTTTAGTCTTTTGAGGAATGTCCATGCTGATTTGCACAGTGGTTGTATCAGTTTACATTCCCACCACCAACGTAGTAAAGTTCCTCTTTCCCTGCATCCTCACCAGCATGCGTTGTTTTTTGTACTTTTGATGATGGCTATTATGACTGGAGTGAAATATAACCTCAATGTAGTTTTAATTTGCATTTCTCTGATGGCTAGAGATGTTAAACATTCTCACATACTTTTTATAATCAAAACTGTACTGAGCTGAATTACCTGTCATAAAAATCAGCCTTCAAAGTTTGCAATTTAGTGAGTTTCAGTATATTTATACAGATGTGCAACCATCACCACTATCCAGATCCACAGCATCATCGTCATCCCAAATAAAAACTCCATATCAAGTGGCGATCATTACTCATTTCTCTTTTCTCCCAGCACAAGGCAACCACTAATCTACTTGCTGTTTCTCTGGATTTACCTATTATGGACACTATAAAAATGGAATCATGACATATATTAAGATTACAAGTTTCACCCATTTTGTAGCTTATATCAATATTTAATTATTTTTTATTACTGAATAATATTCCATTGGGTGGGTATAGTCCATTGGGGTTGATAGACATTGGAGTTGTTTGCATTTTGGACTGTTATGAGTAATCTGTTATGAACATTTTGTACAAGTTTTTTGTGTGGACATATGTTTTTAGTTCTCTTGGCTATATACCAAGGAATGGAATTGCTGATCATATGGTAAACTTTAGGATAAACATTTTGAGAAACTGCCAAACTGTTTTATAAAATAATCATAGCATTTTACATTTCCACTAGAATATAGGAAAGTTGTAATTTCTCTACATCCTCTGACACTTGTCATTGCCTGTCTTTGTGAATATAGCCATCCTAATGGGTGTAAAATAGTATCTTATCATTTCTATTTGCCTCTTCTTAGTGTCCAGTAATGCTGACTATATTTTCACGTGTTTATGAACCACTTGTATATCTTTTGTGGAGATACATCTACTCAAATTATTTACCCTTACTTATTTTTACTTGGGTTGTATTTGTCTTTTTATTATTGAATTGAGAGAGACAGGGGAGGGAGAAAAGGAGAGAGAGAGAGAGAGAGAGAGAGAGAATTCTGAATGGAATGTTATCACATCTACAATTTGCAACTCATTTTTCACTTTCTTTGGATTATCTTTTCACTTTCTTGATATATTTGAAGCAAAAAAGATTTTAGTTTTGATGAAGTCAATTTTATCCAGTTTTCTTTTTATTGCTTATACTTTTGTGTCATATCTAAAAAATCATTGCCTAATCCAAGGTCAAAAAGATGTACTCTTATGTTTTTCTCTTAGTATTTTATAGTTTTAGCTCTTACATTTAGGGGTTTGGTCCATTTGGAGTTAATATTTTTATATCATGTGAAATGGGTGTCCAGATTCACTCTTTTGCATGTGGAGACCAGTTTTCCCAGCACCATTTGTTGAAAGGACTATTGTTTCCTTACTGAATTTTCTTGCATACTTGTCAAATGGTCATAGTTCTTTGATGGTGCAGACTAAAAAGATGGTGTTGGGAAATATCTACACAGAGGCAGAGCTGTGCCCTTTGTGTGTATTTTTCACACAGTTCTCACTGTACCATAAGGCAGATATCCTTTCCTGTTATGCAGATATGCCAACCAAGCTGCCATGAGATTAGATTGATCATCCACATGAACACAGTTAAAAAATGACTGAGTCAGGATTCAAATTCAGATCTGTCTGATTCGAAATCCTTTACCTGTTCTACTACTAGATACATGTAATTAGCCCTTGGATTATTTTTAGTCAAACAGAACTCCATCTGACCCACTTTGCTAGGGAAAAGACAGTCACTGGAGCTTTTCCATTCAGTAATAATGGAAGAAATAATTGATTTTCTAAGATATCACAGCAACCTCCCAGAAAAGAATCACAGCTAAATTTGTTACTGGTTGCAAATATCCACAAAGTTTGTTATCCCTTCTTATACTTGTTAAAACAATACTTATGTTAAATGGTGATGGGCTGAACTTGCTGGCTATTATTTGACAATTTGGAGCTTTGTGTGCAATTAAATTTCCTTTGGAGACTAAAGGAACAAGAAAGGCAGAACTAGTCACTCTTACCTGCCATGCAGCCATTTTCAGAGCCAACACAAGACCTGTGGAGCCAGTCTGGAAACATAGTAGATATTTATGGAGGAGATGGTTCAAAAAATGCCTACAAAAAGAATGCCTACACATCATTAAAAACACCTTTAAAAACATCTTTAGAGAAGAAAAATCAATTATGTCTAATCCTACAGCCTTAGCACAATGCAAAACCTAATTTTATTTATGCATTTTCCTTTTCAATTCTTGTCTATATGCAGAAACATTTACATAATTGCAATCACAGTATACATCTTTTTATACATCTTATGCACATCTTTTTTCACTTAACATTATTTCATAAACAACCTCCACATTGGTATGTAGTTTACACACTTACCATCTTTTTATAATTACTTTCTCTATTAAAAGATTGTACATACCCACAGTGCAAATTTTAAGAAACAGAAAAGTTATAAAGATGAAAACATCAATTATCTTCCAGAGGCAACAACTACTTAATATTTTAATGTATTTACTTCTTTGCCCTTTTTCTGTGCATGTATAATTTTATTTTACATAGTTGTGATCATATGTAATACATTTTATCCTGAATTTTCACTTAATATTAAAACAAATATTTCCCATGCCAATTATGTTGGGTGCTTAATTTGATTCTCAATCATATAAATAATTTTTCAATACATGAATGTGCTTTTGTTTACATTTTACGTTATTGCCCTCACTTAGATTTCTATGAATGGAATTACTAGATCTGTGAAGATTTTATAGCATTTCAAAGGTATATTTATCCTTAAAGGCATTAGTATCTTCCATCTTTTATCTGCAGCCTGATTTTTTTTTAAATACACTATTGCGCATTGTGCTACTTCCAGGTATTTTACTTTTATAAGTAACTCTGCCAGAAAATTACTTGTGAAAAAGGTGTTTTATTTATTTGGTATAAGTTTTTATGTTAGTAATTTTATTTTATTTTATTTTTTTGGTACTGGGGATCAAACCCAGAACCTTCCGTTTGCAAGGCAGGCGGCAGAACCACTGAGCTAAATCCCCAGCCTTATGTTAGTAATTTTAGAAATGGAATTATTTGGTCAGAGGGCATTAATATATTTAAAGAATTATTAAAGCTTATCACCAACTCATTTTTCAAAAAGTTTGTGTCAATTAATACTCTTGTCTCCATTCCCCAATCACCATCTATCATGTCAACAATGAAAAACATCAGCATTGAGTGTTACTCAGAAGATTTATTAAATTTGAGTAACAAACTCCAGTATCTGAAAAATATATAAAGGCAAGGAGAAGTATGCTTGTTCTTGTGGTCCCTGGGATAGGGTAAAATGAGTCATGTGTTCCCTGAATATGTGTTTTAGGGAATCTATGTAGGGTGCCATATCCCGGGGCTCAGCTGAGGGGACTGAGAGAAGGGTTCAGGGGTCCTATTTAGAAACATCATGTGGATAGGCTGATCTCTAGGAAGCTGTGGTCCCCAAAACCACCTCAGCTGATCAGCATGAGGAGAGTCAAGTCAGGACAGAGCTGGCAAAACCTTGGGTATTAGGCTGAATATATGTCCTACACCTAAAAACACTGCAATTGAAGTCACATGGGCTAAAATTAAGGCACCAGGACTATGTAAATGGAATTCTTCAATCTCAACCTAAATTAGCTTAAGCTAAAATACACAGTTCCTTGGCTCACGTAATGAATAATGAAGAAATAAAGCTGACATTTTATGCATCTTGATATAGGGCTCAGCGGACATGGTCTGTTTTTCATCTTCTCTTAACTTGTTTAGAGTCAAATCCATTCCCAGGTCACATGTGGTCTCACAATGACTGTAGCAGCTGCAAACTTTATATTCTCCCAAATTTTAGGCCAGTACAAAAAAGCAAGAGGAACTTATTCAAAAGTTTCAGCACAGTATCTATGCCTTCTTGTTTTGTGATTGAGTCATTATGAACCCATCTTTTTTTTTTTTTTTTTTTTTTTGTACTGGGGATCAAACTCAGGACCTTGCACTTGCAAGGCAGGCAGCTGCACCACTGAGCTAAATCCCAGGGCCAAGAACTCATCTTTGAATATCTATGTTCAGGAAAATCTATTTTTCTGATTGGGTGAAAGTTGGGTTACAAAAACCACTCAATGAAACTGTGGGATAATTTGAGGCTTGGTATTACTGGGGAATGGCCCAAGATCATATGAAATTTTGTAATAATGATCTATCTTGATCACCAAGCTAATCTAACTGTGTGAATCATAAGCTCTGAGAACAGAACACACACAGATCTCTTCTGCTATACCTTTTCTATCTAAAAGGCTGAGTACATCAGGAGCCCCATGACCAGAATCTTGGGGCAGTGACAGGACTTATCATCAGGTGGAAGTAATATGATATTCTAGACCCCAAAGAGGGCTTTTCTGGTTAGATCCAGATCTGTAGCAGCAGCAAAGAATATTGAAAGCAAGCACTAGGCCATGGGATAGCAGACCAGAGACCAGAAACTGTGCTAACTAGATAGGGAGCAGGATGACTTAGCTGGGGTTCAAGAGAAGATAGTGAAAGTTCTGGAGCCAGGCAGATCTGGGTTCCAGTCTTGGTTCTACTATTTCTTGGCCCGATGTCCTTAAGAAAGTCATTTAACTACTTTAGCGCTTAGTTTTCCATCAAGTATAGATGGTAGCATTTATTTCATGGGGATGAAATGAAGATTAAGTAGACAAACATTATGATATAGCCCCTAGTATATTATTATTAGCATGAAGACATCATTCACATTAGAGAACGGAACAAAAGCAAAGTCAATAACAGTAGCTTAGCTTTTACAATGGAGTTTGAGAAAAAGATGAGAGCTTATCTGGCCTTAGCTGGCAGGACATTGGTTCTGATTGATTCAGAGGCTGAAGGTCTAAATCCCCAGGCTGAAGATCTATAGCAGGGTAAGTCTACACTATGGGGCATCAGGGTATACATTTTGTAGACTGGTGTTTTGTACCATGCCTAAAGCAGTGCAGTTACAGTCACTGAAGCTCAGCCATGCAGTACAGTGGACTCTTGACTTACAAACTCAATTCATTTGCAAGGGCTGGTTGTAACTCAAGTTGGTAAGTTGAAGGCTTAGGCTCCTCTACATAGCTTTCAAAGTTGCTCTCCTGTACAAAGCCTGATCTAGTGTCCTTAGAGAGACATTGGCCCAGGATTTCTCAGTGAACCCCACACAGGAAAGGATGTTATAATCTTCCTTCTGGAACTTGTTAAGGGTTAAATCTGTATCTAAGGGCATCTGGAAGCACAAGCAGCCAGCATTTGGGTCATAACTCAAGACTAAAAATCTGATCATAACCCAAGTTGTTTGTATGTCAAGCCAGTCATAACTCAAGGGTCTATTGTAGACAGATGTCATAAAAATTGGAAGGTAAAAGAAAAACATAAATGTTGTAATTGTAATTGACTTGTACTAATTATTACTTAATACATATTATTATTATGGGTTTAAATCCTACCTTTTTCACATGTAGTTTCAATTTGTGAAAGCCTATTATTCACTTTTCAGTACTTTACTTCCATTTACCACCTGTAAAAAGAAAGATAATAGCAATACTTAGAGTTTTGTGAAAATGAACTATGATGTATGTAAAGAGGCTAGCATCTTAAAGTGTATGACACCTAGTAGATTTGACATAAACAGTTAGTATTGTGTCTGTATTGCTACATTACAAATTACTCCAGACCTCAGAAATTTCAAACAACAATAAAGATTTATTATCCCACATAATTCTTGGAGCTCAAGAATATGGTACCAGCTTAGCTGGATGGTTTTGGTTCAGGGTCTCTCATGAAGTTATAGTTAAGATGTCAGCTAAGACTATAGTTCTTTGAAGGGCTGAGTGCAGCTAGAAAATCATCTTTCAAAATGACTCATTCATATGGGATGACAAGTTAGGGTCAGTTTTTGTAGAATGCCTTGATTCCTTGCTACATAGACTTCTCTATAAAGTTGCTTTTGAGCAAAACTGTGGTAGCTGTCCTCCTTTAGAATGACTAATCCAAGGAAAAACAGAATAGAAGCTGGAAGGTTCTTTTATGATCTAGCCTGAAAAGTCATAGTCTATCATTCTTGTAATAGCCTATTAGTTATATAAACCAACCTAGCCTATTAGTTATATAAGCCAATCTTATTTTCTTTTTATTTATTTATTTATTTATTTATTTATTTATTTATTTGTACCTGGGATCGAACTTTGCACCTTGCGCTTGCAGGGCAGGCACCAGAACCACTGAGCTAAATCCCCGGACCTAGCCAACATTATTTTCCATGGGAGGAAAGAGTAAATTCCAGGATATGAATACTAGGAAGTAGGGATAATCCAAGGAACCTTCATCATCAGGTGGATACTCACTTGGCTACCACTTTCCTTTTCTCATTCTTCCAAGGTTCCTCTCCCTATTCCCAAGATACGTAAGTAAAAGCCTAGCATTTGGAGATTGGCATAAAATTCAAAAAAAGATTTTGAAAATGTCCAGGTCCTATTGCTTCCATAAATAAATAGCAAAATTTCCCCATCTCTATCTTTCTATCCTAACATAGACCTAAAACTGTAGGGGCCTTTGCATTGGTCACAAATCAGAAATATTTTTGATCCACTAGACTAAGAAAAATAAGATTCTCTCATTTAAGAAAAGAAGGTTGTGCTCCAGTTTCTAGTTCCCAGTTTATGTCATAGCCCTGTGCATATATGGCAAATGATGTGGGGCTTCTACTGAGTTGAGCCAAGGTGTAATCCAAGTACATGTACTTGAAATTCCAAGAGACTAAGGACCCAGAGGCAAATCATAAAGAAAGTGTAGAAAACATCACCAGAAAAAGTGATGAGGATAAGCTAGAGTAAGGAATTTGGTCTCCATAAGATTTAATGACCCACCATTACCAGTGCTTACTCAGTACTCTTAGGAACAGAAGAATGAAGAGTCTCTAACCAAAACAAAATCCTGGAATTCAGTTGAAGTTTGAAGCAAGGTAGACCAAGCTTCAATTCCCATCCCTACCTTTTACTCTTCTGCATTATTTTGACAAAATACTTAACCTCAAAAAGTTATAGATCTTTCATCCTTAAAATGGGATTAGTGATACTGACCTCATAGATTTGCTGTGAGTATTAGATAAGATAAACTATGTATCTGGCCCCTATCAGAACCTTGGAAATGATGTTGTTATCAGAAGTCCTTCCTTGAGGATGGTTACCACTATTTGTTATTTTTTTTTTCCTCACTAAGAGATCCTGAGCCTAGTTCATTCTCTGAAATCCCAGTAGGGTCTGTGTTTGGCACTTGCAGTGTGATTTTTTTCCAGTTTATTGCTGAATCATTGTCTTATGAACCTGATACACTTCTCTCTAGAACAACAACAACAAAACAAAAACCATGAGGAGGATCAGCCCAGCTGAGATCTATTCTTGGAAAGTTTGCCTTCTGAAAAAGATTATACAAAAGACTAGCTTGTTAAAAAAAAGAGTTTTTAAGTGCATTGATCATTACTACCCACTGAGCTTAAAAATCCAGTGATGAGTTCCCTGTAAAGTCCTCCTTTGTTCCCGAATTACTTGTAACAAATTTTTCCTGAATTACTTGTAACAAATTACTGGGGTTGTGGGGAGTTTACGTTGTTTGGGTCTAATGAGTACCCCGAAGCCCAGACAGAAGCCGCTGGGAAAGTGTTCTAATTATGGGCGGGGTTTACGAAATCAAAGGACAAAAATACAAATTTTTGAAAGAATTATGTAGTGATTGAACCACAAAAGACAATGCATTATGATTACTGGTCAAGAAGCACCAGATGAGTAGTGGGGAACAGAGAAGGTCAGAGAGAGTAGAAAGTAAAAACAAACATAGGTAAGGTAGCGAGAGCTGTGCTACCCACAGGATTGAAAACATACGCTAATGTGTAAGTCGTCCAAAACGAGCTGCAGCATTCATCTTCCTGACCAGCAGACTTTCCCACAATATCAGCTTCTGATGAATTAGAAACAGAGAAACACCATAGCGGAATTCAGGAAACATCAGCCAACCTAGACATCCAAATTTTAATGCACTGCTAACACATGCTTGCTCCAATGCTTCAGACTTAGCTGCCCCCCCCCCGCCCCCCATGACAAAGGCCAGTTCTTGCAAGGCTTCCCACATAGTAGGAGCTTAAAAATAAACTTATTATTAAGAAGGCCATTTTCCTCCCAGCTATCACTGGAGGAAGTCTTGCAAGGGGTGACCCATTGCACCGGTCTGAAGTCTGAAGTACTGCTCCTCCCGCCTTCTTCATTACTCTCCCACATCTAGCTGTTCTAGGCGGGCTCAGCCTTTGCAGAAGCTAGGGATCTCCTCCCAGCCCACCTGGAGCCTAAGTGGTGTTTGGTAAAGTTTAAACAACCTCATGTAGGGTGTTTAAAAAGCAATCTCCATTTCTTTTGAATAAGGAGAAGAAAGAAAAAAGGCACTGCCACCTTTCCTCTATTTGCTCATTAGGATTCTGGGTTACAACAGTGCTGCCTGGCCGCTCTAATTGGATCCGTGCACACACAGGTCTGCGCGGCTCCATTGAATGCTGACATTTCTAACTAACTGACCTTTTCAGGACTACTGATACTCCCATAATGAGTGTGCAGTGGCATTGTGTGGACACAATACGGCAGACTTCACAGCGCCCAAAGAATGCAGGATTGAAAACTATTCAGAATTCCCAATCTCGAGTTAGCAAAATGAGAAAATTGGGTCCCAACATTCATCAACATGTTATTGTGCAGATATCGATTTCAATGCCCTTTCATTTCTTTCAAAAAAAGTTGTATTATAGAGGTCTAAATTAACTTTTGTTCTGTTATTTTTTCCCTGTACCTATAAAAAGGTCAAATGCGTTCATAAGGCTGAGATAGATCTGCTGGATATAAGAACTGAGATAGCAATCAACCTTCAAATAACCTTTAAGGAGACATCAACTCTTCCATAAACAGTAATTGATGTACTCATTAAGGCCATGAAATTTTTCAGGAATCACCTAAAGGAGAATAGTTATAGAGCCAGTGGCAAAAATATGTCATTTAGAACAATGAGATAATGGCTCAGATATTTGAAATGGTTGTGGTCCCTTCAGTGTTGTTGTGACAGTAAGAGGACTTCAAAGGGAAGCTAACAAGATGGGGAAAAGGAGCAGCGATTTACACTATCCAGCAGGGACAAAATAGCCTGAGCCCAGATAGGAATGGATCTGATTCCTGAGAGTGCCCTGGATCCACAGCAGAAAATTAGAATCTTTTTTCCTCATATAAATGGACAGTAATGGATTTATCAAGGCCACTTTCTCCCCTCCAAAAGAGAGGGTATGGAACAGGAAACACTACAAGTGGCAGCTCTTCTGATGAGGTAATGCCAACAGTGAGTGAGTGTGTGGTTTCTCTAATGCTCCGCTGAATATTATATGCTTTTCCATGAATGTGCCCCAGTCCTGGAATCAGACCATCATAGAACTATATTTTATAGGCATTCATGAGCAGACCGTGTGCCAGCCACTATGTTTGCTGTTTATGGCTTGATTGTTTTCATTTAAACTGAATTAAATTCAATCCAAGCCAGCAAATATTACTTATCCATTTGTTTCTCTAACATTTAAACACTTGTGTTCAGAACTAAGTATAAAAAAAAGAGAACAACCACTATGTAAATCAGTATGGAGATACCTCAAAAAACTAGGATTTGAGGTCCCATTTGATCCAGCTATTCCCCTGCTGGGTATCTTTCCCAAAGAATTAAAAGAATCATACCACAGTGATATATGTGTACCCATGTTCATGATGGCACAATTCGTGGTAGCTAAAACTTGGAAACAGCCCAGTTGCCCATCAAGTGGAGACCGGATAAAGAAGATGTGGTTTTTTTAATAAAATGGTGTACTACTCAGCCATAAAGCATGAGAAACTAGAGACAGTTATAGCTTACTGGATGCACATTGAGGCCATACTCTTAAGTGAAATGAATAGAATACACATGTAAATACCAAATAGTTTCTCTGGTATGAGAAACTGAAAGTGTAAATAAGGATCAAAATGTATAATAGATAATGTGAAATAGGAAGAAAAGGTCCAAAGGGGAAGGAGAAGTGGGAGGGAAAAGAAAGAAGGGAAAGGAATAAATATGAGAAAAGGAAAAAAAATAGAGATTGTCTCTATCCAAAAGGTACTTATACTCCATAGTTCCCTTGTACTCATGTTAAAGATGAAAGAATATCCTTCATATAAAGCAGAAAATTAGTCTTTACTGTGCTAGGTTCCATGTGTTTTATAAGTGTCTAAATCCTAGTTACCATCTTGTAGTTGTAAAGAATATTACTCTATTTTGGAAAAGAGGAGACTAAGGTTTAAAGAGGTTGTGTGATTCACTCAGGATCACCAAGTCATAAGAAGGTAAGCATACTGATATGAGGTCTGGGCATTATTGTTTTTCCCTTTATAGATAGATCCTCTTTAACCTTGATTTTACCTACTCACAGAGGAGAAGGGAATTTTCTGATAGAGTTAAGTCTTTTTACTGTATAGCTTCACATCCTCAAAGGGCAACTACATCTTATAATGAGAAAACTACACCATACTTGATGTTTGTATTAAGGATGGGTTATTTTTAGATTCTTCAAATGAAGATGGTTGTAAGGATTATATGTAGTTCCAGAGGAAAACATACATCACACAAGGACTGCCAATCACTTATATCATAAATCTATGACACCACTAAATCATTGTGAAATTCTTTCCTGTTCATGCTGAACTCAGTTTCAAATCTTCTCTTACACAATACTCCAGACAATCACTATTTCAGCATATATCTTGTGAGAAAACCTACTTGCCATACTTGAAAGATCTGTTTTATTTTGCATATGAAATGATGGCTCTGGGAGAGAAATGACATGCCAAAGATCATGAAGGGAATGAGTGGTAGTTAAATGAATGATAGGACCCAGCAATGGTTAAAGGGATAAAACTAGATATAGATTAAGGTCAGTGAGGAAATGGGCAGGGGGTGCTTGCTTCCTTTAATTTATTCCTGCTACTTGTGTTCTGATACCCACCATTTGGTGTACTATAAATAAATACAAGTTTATCTATCTGTCTATCTATCTATAAATTTATTGACTATTTACCACGGCTCAACTCTGAGAAGACGTAATAATCCAGGTATGTATAGTGAACCATTTTCTTTTATTTTTGTTTTTTGTTTTTTTGTTTTTTGTTTTGGTACCAAGGATCAAACTCGGGACCTTGTGCTTGCGAGGCAGGCAGTGGAACCACTGAGCTAAATCCCAGGCTCTGAACCATTTTCTTTTGAAGTACAAATGGTAATCTCCTTTTACATATTGGTGGGACAATCAAAATGTTTGTTCTACATAATGGTTTTTGGCCTGGGGACCTCTCTAACATCATTTAAGCTGTAGGTTTCCCTTTATCCAATTATCTCAAGGAGGTGGAACAGATCAAGTCTATATTACCTTGAACTTTCTGACACAGTGACTTCCACCAGACCAGGTACTCAGCTATGTTGTAGAAAACAGTGATAATAATAATAGGCAACATTTATCGAGTGCTCCCTACATGCCAAGTGCTGTTCTAAGGGCTTTTGATAAATTGACTCTCTTAATTTTCAAAAAAACCTACACGAGTACATGCCACAATCTGTCATTTAACAAATGAATAAACTGAACCAGAGAGAAGGCAAGTAACTTGTTCAAGGTTTCATGACTAGTAACAAAGGTGAGATTTGAGTTCAGGCAGTTCAGTTCCAGCACTGTGCTCTACTGTTTATCGTGTAAAAGTTCTTTACATGAGAATCAAGAAATTCCTAAAAGATGTAGGAAGAATAAGGGTCTGATGCTAGTTAACTTGGCTATTACACATTTTATGGGTTTGGAGGAGGGGGATTCCATACTTACACTTTTACAAAGAGGGTGATTGGTTCCCCTTGACTTCACTCTGAATCCCTTACCTGCTCACACTCACATTCATGCAGGCATCTCTTCAAATCACTCAGTGGGGTGGTCACACCCTATATATCAGTCAGTTTCTTATTACTACAACAAAATACTGAAGACAACTAGCTTATAATGGAAAAAATTACACAATTTTTGAAGTTTTTAAATCCAAACATTGTGTACAGTCAGTGAGAGCTGGCACTTGACTGCATTACCCCATGGTGCAGATAGCAATGTTAGGAGTGCATGTCAGTGGTAAGCAACTATTTCTATCTTGAAATGGAACATGGAGAGAGAGAAAAAGATATGGTCTGACAGTGCCCTTTGAGAACACACTCCAGTGACCTAGGGACTTCCCACCAGCCCCACCTCTTAAAGGTCCACAGCACTGCCCAATATTGCTACGCTGAAGATCAAGCTATAACATATAAACCTTTAGAGAATGCTACACATATTCAAATGATAGCACCCTATTCCTTCAGACAAATCCGTTCCTCACTGGAGGTGGATTCATATTGTGTTCCCTGTGCAGTCCCTCAGGATTCACCCTGATGGCCACTGCTATGCATATTTCTCACTCATCCCAGGCTCTGGAAGTGATTGGGTCTAGGCCAGTGAGTACAGGTAAATTTAAATCACTCTGTTTCAGTTACAGCTGTGGATGCTATGAATCAGGTACCCCTCACACTGACTCTTCTCAGAGATAACAGCCTTATTCCCTATCTAAAAAAGGATATTACGTTTATCAGCATAGTTTTGGCCTTACCCTTTACAGTTGATCAACCACCTCCCCATTGTTGTTATGAGAAATAGCCAGATCATTTGCCTTTCCTAAGAACTAGTCCTAATATAAGAAAAAAAAAAAAAAACCACTAGCCATCAAGGGTTACAACCTTACTACCCAAGAAAACTTCCATGCACTAGCTCTGATTAATTTGTTTGTTTGCTTGTTTTATATGACATTATTTATAATTATTTATATGAAATTATTTATTTGTTTTTTTCC